GATAATGGAATGAGATTTAGTAGAATAAAGTGAAATACCCAAAGTCACACAACTGGTATAGAGCTATGATTTGTCGGAGCCGAGATCCTACGCTTAGCCTTACTTCCACATCAGGCACTAAGACTAACATATAACAAATGTACTAATTAAGTGCAATTATTTATTAATGTTAATTCAACAAACACATTTTGAGTGCCTACTACTAGCCAACCCAGGGCAAATCCCTGATCTCAAGGAGCTTACAATCTAATGGAGTTTACAATCCAATCTTTTTTTTTTTTTTTAAGATTTTATTTATTTGACAGAGAGAAAGTGAGAGTATGCACACAAATGGGGGAGAAGCAGCAGAGTGAGAGGGAGAAGCAGGCTCCCCACTGAGCAAGGAGCCCAACGTCTGTGCCGCTGGGCTTGATCCCAGGACCCTGAAATCACCACCTGAGGGAATGCAAATGCTTAACGGATTGAGCCACCCAGGCGCCCCCTCGTGGAGTCTTTAGAATGGAGTCAAAGGTAGCTTCTTTTTTTTTTTTTTTTTTTAAGATTTTATTTATTCATTTGACAGAGAGAGAGATCACAAGTAGGTGGAGAGGTGGGCAGAGAGAGAGAGGAGGAAGCAGGCTCCCTGCTGAGCAGACAGCCCGATGCGGGGCTCGATCCCATGACCCTGGGATCATGACCTGAGCCGAAGGCAGAGGCTTTAACCCACTGAGCCACCCAGGCGCCCCAAAGGTAGCTTCTTAATAGTGTGCCTTCCACCAGTATTCTCCACTTCTGATTCTGCTGGCCAGTACTATTTATTGAGAAAAGAAAAAACTACTTCTAGTATAGAAAAAAGTAATTCATCAAGTCTTGTAACCTGGCAGACCTATCCAACCTCTTTTGCTCAAATACTGAGCTGCCCAAACAATCTTCCAAATTTTATTTAGCAACACTGGGTTAAACCATTCCAGCAAGAGGAAATAAATACCCACTATAAATAACCTGTTTATCCTACCAAGGATATTGTTGTGAATTAATAGATAGTTATTCTGGTCTAGAAAGCAACTGTGGGAGAGTTAGCATCAGTCAATCCTCAGGGCCAGTGCCATCCAGTGGAACTTTCCGTGATTCTGTTCAATAGGGTAGCTAGCCACATGTGGCTACTGAACATTTGAAATGCATGGAGGGAAACTGAAGAGGCGATTTGCAACGTTATTTAATTTTAATTAATTCAAATGACCACATGTAGCTAGTGCCTCTGGATTTGAACACCACAGCTCTAGATCCTTGCTACTCAAAGTGTGGTCTGCATCGCCTTATTAGGTTACTAGAAATACAGACTCTCAGGTCCCACCCTAGCCCTCTAGATTCAGAAACTTATGTTAACCAGACCCACAGGTGCTCCGTATGCACATTATATGCAGTTTGAAAATGGCAGGGTTACTTCTGGATGAGCTGAAAAATAAAAGAATTGACTGAAGACCATATTTGTGGTAACCTCTCCAAATTGCAGACACCCACACTTGAGACTGGTGTCCAGCATCAAGGGCCTGCTTTCTTTTCTTTTTTTTCCTTTTTCCTTTTTTTTTTTTTTTAAGATTTTCTGCATTTATTTCAAACAGAGAGAGAGTAATGAGAGGTGGGAAGGAGCAGAAGGAGAGGGAAAGAAACCGAGTCCACTGCTGAGAGGGAGCCCCACATGGCTGGAACCCAGGACCCTGGGATCATGGCCTGAGCCAAAGGCTGACATTTAAACAGCTGAGACACCCAGGTACCCTTAGGGGCCTTCTTTCTTTGTATCTTCCTCTCCTTCATTCCTTAAACAGAAAGGGGGAAAGGGAAAGAAACGTGGAATATGGGGTCCAAGGAAAGTTAGTGTTGGATAGGGGGTGGGGGATGGGATGGGAAGAGCATGTGATTCTCAGGGATACGTATACAAAATAAATGATGAACTTCCCTTGATAATTACTGAATATGGATGACGGGTATATGAGAGTTCATTGTACTATTTTCTCTGCCTCTGTATAACTTGGAAATTTTCAAAATTAAAAAATAGATGTGATTTCAAAGATGATGGGTGTGGGGCACCCGGGTGTCTCAGTTGGTTAAACGTCTGTCTGCCTTTGGCTCAGGTCATGATCCCAGTGCCCTGGGGTCAAGCCCAGCATCAGGCTCCCTGCTTGGTGGGAAGCCTGCCTCCCTGCTTGTGTTTTCTTGCTGTCTCTCTGTCAAACAAATAAATAAAATCTTAAAAAAAAAAAAAAAGATGGTGTGTGTCCTAACCTCCAAGATGGCCCCCAGTGAGCCTATCCTTCTAGTATTCATGCCTTTGTGTAGTCTTTCATATTGAATCAGGGCTGGTCCGTGAGACCAAAGTGGAAAGAGCAGGCATAACACTAGAGAGGTAGTGATTTCTGCCTTGCTCTCTCTTGGATCTCTTGCTCTAAAGGAAGGCAGCTACCATGCTGGGAGGACACTCAAGCAGACTTGTGGAGAGGCCTTTAATAGGAGCCAAGACCTCCTGACAACAGCCAGCGGTGAGAACTAGCCACGTGAGCAAGCTTCTGTGGAGTTGATTTTCTTTTCTTTTCCATCTTTTTTTTTTAAAGACTTTATTTATTTATTTGACAGACAGAGATCACAAGTAGGCAGAAAGGCAGGCAGAGAGGGGGTGGGGAAGCAGGCTCCCTACAGAGCAGAGAGCCTGATGCGATGCAGGGCTCCATCCCAGGACCCCGGGATCATGACCTGAGCCGAAGACAAAGGCTTTAACCCACTGAGCCTCCCAGACGCCCCTGGAGTTGATTTTCTAGCCCCAGTAAAGCCTTCCAATATGGCTGCAACTGCCTGAGAGATCTCCAAGCCAGAACGGGCTGCCAAGCCACACCCGAATCTCTGACCAAAGGAAACTGTAAAAGGTACTCAATGTATATGATTGTATTAAGCCACTGAGTTTTGCAGTAATTAGTTATGCAGCAATAGAGTACTGAAGCAACTTCATCTCAGCATTTCCTACTCCTTGAATATCCTCTCCACCTTATCACTAATGCCTCAAATGAATAGGACAAAACCTTTCACACGATGCGTAAACATGCTAATACCCCTTGAAGAGATAATACATTCACTTAAATTCAATGTAAAACATATGTGACTGATATAAATTCTTTCTTTTTAAAACTTAGCAAGCTAATAATGTATTGAGACATTCACTTCAGTCTGGCTCCTGCTGTTGTAAGAGACTGGAAAGAATAAAAAGGTAATTTCTCCCTCAGGGTCTACCATCCCAAGAACAGCTATAGTCTTGAGTTATATGGTCTAAGATTTTCTTACATCTCCCTCACTCCATGCCCAGCGCGCACACCATCCACCCCCCAACACACACATACTGGTTAACAGCTTCTTGATGCTAAGAGGCACCAGGGTGGCTCAGTTGGTTAAGCCTCTGCCTTCAGCAGGGGTCATGACCTCAGAGTCCTAGGATCAACCTTGGGTTCCAGGCCCACTGGGGAGTCTGCTTCTCCCTCTGCCCCTCCACCCCACTCATGCACTCTCTCCCTCTTCCTCTCTCTCAAATAAATAAAAAAATCTTAAAAACAACAACAACAACAACAACAACAACAACAAAATGGGGCCTCTGGGTGGCTCAGTGGGTTAAGCCTCTGCCTTCTGCTCAGGTCATGATCTCAGGGTCCTGGGATCGAGTCCAGCATCGGGCTATCTGCTCAGCAGGGAGCCTGCTTCCCTCCCCCTTTCTCTGCCTCCCTCTCTGCCTACTTGTGATCTCTGTCAAATAAATAAATAAAATCTTAAAAAACACACACAACCCCCCCCCAAAAAAACAGCTTCTTGGTGTTAAAGAAGACCACCACCCCGACCTCTCACTCACCAACCCCCCATCCCAGCTTTATCTTGAGGATTAGGTAAGAGAGAAAATATGTTGGAATTGCTCCATAAGGGGAAGGGAAAGAGCTGGGATTGATTCAAGAAGAGGGCAAGTGGCCAGGCCAAAGAGGTGAATGACTTTCCCCAGGCTGGGAAAGATTTCCGAGTTTCCAGAAGTGGAAGCCTGTCCCTGGCTTGCACTGTGTGTGTGTGTGTGTGTGTGTGTGTGTGTGTGTGTGTGTTGCAGTGGGGATCACTTCATGGGAAGTCTGGGCAAGTGGGATTCTGGGGCCTGGCTATGCACCCCAGACCACACACCCTTACCTCCACTCCTGCCCATCTGGCTTGCAGACTTTGGAAACGTACCCTTCGGTGGTACCCCAAGGGTGGGGGAATAATAACATCAAGACTGAAACAAACACAAAAAAAAGGCTCTTCCCCAAATCCTTCCCCCAAATTTGTGAGACTTCACAGCCCTAGAGAGAAAAGTGGAAGAACCTCAGAACGTGACTAATGAATTTCCCGCCAATACTGACAGGCGGGAGCTGAGCCAGATTGCTTTAATTCGTAGGATTAGAAGACATGTGACGCTTCTTGCCCCGGAGTCAGTTGCAGCGAATTCATTCCTGCTAAACCTAGTTTCCCTGGGAGCGGTTTCGGTAGGTGGAAGGATGGGGGAGAGTGGAAAGAATTCAAGAAGGTGGCGGAAGTAATAGGTGAGCTAGGGGCCAGAATCCCCTCCTGCTGCTTTCGGTGCCCAGGTCCAGGCCCCCGACTCCCTCCAAGAGAGGACAGCCCGCGCGCGGCCGCCCCTCCGGCTCCGACACAAACACAGGCACGTGCGCCCCGCCCCCGCCGCGCGCACGCGCCCCGAGGCTCTGGCGGCGGCGACGGGCGCGCGCGCGGTGCTCGCTGCCCCCACGCCGCTCTCTCCGCTCGGATCGCGGCGCCTCCCGCTCCCCGCACCGCTCCACGCCGGACCCGCGGAATCGGAGGCGGCGGCCGTGGTCGGTGGGCTCTTGCAGGTGCAGCGGTCGAGGCAGCGGCGCGCGGGGAGCAGAGCGGAATCCGGCAAGTCCTCGGGAGGCGATGTGGCCGGGCGCGGGCCCCTGCGTAAGGCGGACGCCGCGACAGGCCGGCCGGTGAGGCGCCGCTTGGGGGAGGCCGCGACGGAGCTCCCGGACCCGCCATGGGCTGAGACACGTCCTTGCCGAGCAGGTGCAGTGACCAGCGGTCCCGGGGGTGCTCGCCCCGACAGGCCCCGGGAACCCTCAACCCTGTCAGTAGGTGCCCTACCCAGCCGGTGCCCTGTTGACCTTCCCTCGGCTTCTCCCTAGAGGCGCTGCAGACCCCACCGTCAAACTCGGCCCCCTGTGCAGCCCCTGTGAAACCAGCAGCCCCTAACATCCCGAGCATACCCTCATCCTACACTCCTGTGACCCGAGCCCGGTAGGCCCCTGTGCTCTCCTCCTCTACCCAGTGTTTTGAGCCCACTGCTTGCACAGCGTTTGGAAACTACCCAGCATCTCTCTTCGTTTCTCTTCTAGGCCAACATAGGAGTGGGGGCGGAGCGGGGGCGGGGGGAGTGTGACAGAGAGGAGGAATGGTCAGTCCTTCCCTGCAGAGGCCCTGGTCACCCCCAAACCCCTCTTCCCTCTCTCTCAAGCCTGTAGTGAAAGTGCCCCTTCCTTATCCCACCAGAACATGCCCGGGTGACTCTCTCCCAGATCTTCCTAGTGGCCTTCCTCGCCCTTCCCAGTGACACTATGCAACCCCAGCGAGACCCTCGAGGCCTCTGGCTCCTGCTGCTGTCCTTGTTCCTGCTCCTCTTTGAGGTGGCCAGGGCCGGCCGGCCAGTGGTTAGCTGCCCTGCCGCCTGCCTGTGTGCCAGCAACATCCTCAGTTGCTCCAAGCAGCAGCTGCCCAACGTGCCCCACTCGTTGCCCAGCTACACCGCACTGTTAGACCTCAGCCACAACAACCTGAGCCGCCTGCGGGCCGAGTGGACCCCCACGCGCCTGATCCACCTGCAGTCCCTGCTGCTGAGCCACAACCACCTGAACTTCATCTCCTCCGAGGCCTTTTCCCCAGTCCCCAACCTGCGCTACCTGGACCTGTCCTCCAACCAGCTGCGTACACTGGACGAATTCCTGTTCAGTGAGTTGCAGGCGCTAGAGGTGCTTCTGCTCTACAACAACCACATCGTGGCGGTGGACCGCTGCGCCTTCGATGACATGGCCCAGCTGCAGAAGCTCTACCTGAGCCAGAACCAGATCTCCCGCTTTCCCCTGGAACTGGTCAAGGAAGGAGCCAAGCTACCCAAGCTCACCCTCCTGGATCTCTCGTCCAACAAGCTGAAGAACTTACCACTGCCCGACCTGCAGAAGCTGCCCGCGTGGATCAAGAACGGGCTGTACCTACATAACAACCCCCTGCACTGCGACTGTGAGCTCTACCAGCTCTTCTCCCACTGGCAGTACCGGCAGCTGAGCTCCGTGGTGGACTTCCAGGAGGACCTGTACTGCATGAGCTCCAAGAAGCTGCACAACGTCTTCAACCTGAGCTTCCTCAATTGCAGCGAGTACAAGGAGCGCGCCTGGGAGGCCCACCTGGGAGACACCTTGACCATCAAGTGCGACACCAAGCAGCAGGGGATGACCAAGGTGTGGGTGACGCCTAGCAATGAACGGGTGCTCGATGAGGTGGCCAACGGCACGGTGACGGTGTCCGAGGACGGCAGTCTGCATTTCCAGCAGGTGCGGGTTGAGGATGCGGGTGTGTATACCTGCTACGCCATGGGGGAGGCTTTCAACGAGACCCTGTCTGTGGAGTTGAAAGTGTACAATTTCACCTTGCACGGCCACCATGACACCCTCAACACAGCCTATACGACCCTCGTGGGCTGCATCCTCAGTGTGGTCCTGGTCCTCATATACCTGTACCTTACCCCTTGCCGATGCTGGTGCCGGGGTGTCGAGAAACCGTCCAGCCATCAAGGAGACAGCCTCAGCTCATCCATGCTTAGCACTACACCCAACCACGATCCTATGGCTGGCGGGGACAAGGATGATGGTTTTGACCGCCGGGTGGCCTTCCTGGAGCCTGCTGGTCCCGGGCAGGGCCAAAACGGCAAGCTCAAGCCAGGCAACACCCTGCCAGTGCCCGAGGCAACCGGCAAGGGCCAGCGGAGGATGTCGGATCCAGAGTCGGTCAGCTCGGTCTTCTCTGATACACCCATTGTGGTGTGAGCAGGATGGGTTGGTGGGGAGATTCTGCCCCAGGAGAGGTAACGCACCCCTGAAGGATATGAGGGGATGGAAGAGCGGGCTGGCTGCCCAAGGGAGTGGGTTCCCCCCCGACCTCCAGGGAACTGGTCACAGGTACAACAGCTGGCAAGTCCTCAACCAGGGTGTCGCTGCCACGATTTCCAAATAGGGATATATTAATCCTCAGGCAAGTGCTACACCCTTACCCCCCAAGCCCTGGGAATTCTCCGTGCGGTGGAGGAAAAGGAGCATGTCTGAGTTGGGTGGGAATGAGGAAGGGGTGGGGGGAAGAGCAGATTCCCTAAACTTTTTCGAGGTCATCCTTAGCTCCTTAAGAGAAAATCATCTGGGGGAAAAAATTTTTTTTTCTATCTCTGCCCACCCACACCTGTGATGTTGTGTGTGTTGGGGGGCGGATCTTCCACAGGAGCCACACTGGGAAGAGCTGGGGTGTCTTCTTTGGCCAGGAAGTCATACTTCACAGCTGGGGAAATTGGAAACCTTTGGAAAAATGAGTCAGGAAAAGGCTGAGACCTCAATCAGTAACGCTCCCCAAAGCTGTTGTGATTTCCCACTAATGCCTCTCTTTCCCGATGAGTCCTGGATGGACGTATCTTTGCGGGAGCCTGGCCTATTGCCTATGAGGTACAGCAACAACGTGAGACGTGTTCTCTGTGCCAGGCCCTGGAACCAGGGGCACAGAGGGATACAGCTTGACCTGAGGGGTCTGTATCATGGCATGGGTGCCGGCACAAAACTCGTAGATGGGGCATAAACTCCAGGTTTGCTAATTCTCTGGTTGGTGAAACCCTTGGTTAGCACTTGGTTCCCAGCACCTGTGTGTTAGACCAGGGTGGGGGCTGCTAAAGGCAGAGATTTTATGCATGCCTGCCACAGACCTGGGAAGGGGGGCCACTTCAACCCTAGGAGGAGGAGGAGAGTAAACCAGCCTCTGTTACGTAGCATTCAGCTGGGCCTACCTGGTTTCCTGATGCCATCTTTTCTCTCAGTCTACTTAGCAAGCTCAGGTGGGATTGAGTTTTCCCTAATATGCTGCTCTGCCAGTGGAGGAAGCCTGGAGAGTCTGTCTCGCAGCTGCGTGAGACTGGTCCTGGGGATGGAGGGGACTAGTTATGGATCTCTATGTCGAGAAAGCAGGCTTGGTTCTCTCTTAGATCTCATCCTGCTGCAAAGCCAAAGCATGGGATTTCATCACCGGGGGGGGGGGGGGGGGGGTGGAATTGGATGGTCTCTGCCCCAGAATGGCAAGCTGGAGTGCTGCTTAGAGTTCTGCCCCGCTCCACAAGGTTCCAGGCAGTCTTGTTTACAGAGACACTGGCACTAAACTTTCCACAGGAAAGTTCTGCCACCGCCATCCCTCTCAGCCAAGGTCTGTGCAGTTGCTGGTGGTCAGGCCGGGGGAACTTAAGAGCAGACCCAACATTCCCTTCCATTCAGGGTTGCAGAACACTTTGGGTATGGAGATGACTGCGCCCTTTGACTATCCCGCAGGCCCAGGGAGACTGGTGCTCTGAGCTTTGGCAAAGGGATGAGCAGGGCAAAGGTGAAAATGTTCTCTGATGTTGGTCTTCTTCAGTGTCTCCCCTTCTCCCAACCAAGTTCCCTGTTCGTTGGAAGTTCTCCAGATCTTCTGGTTTTCGGACCTGCTCTCTAGGTTCCAAGGGGTATGTCCTCTACCTGTGGGTGAGGGCTGCTTGCTAGGAGGGCCTGACTCCCGCTGCCTATTAAGATTGGGAAAGGGGACTGGAACTCAGCATCTTCCCTGTCTGTTCCTGGGATGTCAAGACTGCTGTCCATCCTTTCTCAGTAACCTAGTTTGTCAAGAGAGATGCAGCATTTCCCTCAAGTACTCGCATGCTCCTGGGTATGCATGCTTCCAAGTGCGCGAGCACACTAGCGCCTTGACTCCCCTCAGGACAGTGACTCTGCAGTCCCCGCTAAAGACCCCGGTCACAGTGGGTTCCACCTATGTGCCCAGCCTCATGCACACAGCTATCTTGCTCCGTAGGAGAGACAGTGACCACGCCAGGCTCCCCAGATACAAACTCTTGTACTTTTAATTTCCGAACTCCCTGAAGCTTTCCCCGCACATCCGTGGCACTGAGTAACTTCTCTACGAAGGCTGGAGTTAGGAGAACAGCAGGCTGGTGACCTGGGGAGGAGGGATGCTGAGGAGCTGGCTGGTTCTTCAGACCCCTCAGAAACCTTCTCAGATTAAAGACAATATACATGAGAAATAAATGCAGAACTAGGTCAATGATGGCCCCAGAAGGAGACGGATAGGGGAATAAGCAGCTGTAAGTTGTTCTTCCTTCATTAACTGCCCTGGAAAGACAGGGGCATGAAGGAAAAGTCGTCTTGTTATATTCCACAGACTTCTGAGGCTTTTGGTCCTGGCCGCCCTCCTCAGACTTATTAGGGCACTGGGGGAAATCTCATCTCCATGCTGCAGTTTCCCACTGGGCACCCCTTAGGGCTCTAAAAATCTTTAAAATAGATGTCGAGTGAAGTTGGCCTTCTGGAGCATTTTGAGCTCCTGAGGACTAGGAGGGCCAATTTCTTCAGAAGTCCTACCCAGCTTAGGGAATAAGAAAAGACCCTGAGGCCCTGCATCTCCCTACTGTATCCACTAGGTCGGCCCCTCGTTTGAACTACTGGTAGATGTGTCTGGCTGCCCCACCAGGACATTGAACTGATTAGCCTCTTCCCGTGGTTTCAGTTGTTAGAACCCAAAGGTAGCTTTCTACTTGGGGGATTAGGTACTCAGCATATATAAGCTCACTAGAACCTTGTGTAGGAAACTGCCAGGTCTGATCATAAGAACAAGCTGAGAAATCTCCCCCTCCCTTCCCCCCACCCTGAACTCATAAACCAGACATATCTCCCAGGAAGCAGGTGTCCCTGGAGACAGAATATGGCAGGGCTCTACAATCTGTCTATGTGATTATTTGTGATCTTTTTTTCTTTTGCCTGTATTTATGGGGCTCCTAGGAAGGGGCCAGGAGAGGGTATAGCCCAGCTGGGGACAGTAAAGCTGACTGATTCCCATTTTCTGTGTGTTCTTACCTCTGTACTTCCTTGTCGCCCTGCTGTAGAAGCAAGCGGGCCTCCCTGTGTCCAGGACCCCGACCCTACCACTTATGTACACCCAGGCTGGCAAACCTTGGAGCCTCTGGGCTCTGAAAACTAGACCATGATCATTAAACCTGGCTTGAGTCTCCGTTTGGGCAGTCTGTGACTGGTTTATTTATCTTTTCAGCCTGTGGGTGGGGCTCACTGTGCCTCCTAAGTGTGTGGCCTAAGGAGAGGATTTTTTTTAACATTTTATTTATTTATTTGAGAGAGAGAGACAGTGAGAGAGAGAACGCAATTTATTTATTTATTTATTTATAACATTTTTATTTATTTATTTGACAGAGAGAGACACAGTGAGGGAGGGAACGCAAGCAGGGGGAGTGGGAGAGGGAGAAGCAGGCTTCCCGCTGAGCAGGGAGCCCGATGTGGGTCTCCATCCCAGGACCTATGACCTGAGCCGAAGGCAGACGCTTCATGACTGAGCCACCCAGGTGCCCCTTAAATGCTGTTCTAAAGGCAAGGGTAGAATCCACATCCGGGCATGAAAATAGACCAAGGTCAACGAACTTTCTTCTGTGAGGAGCCAGACAGTAAATACGTTAGGCTTTGCAGGCCAGACGCTCTCTGGTAGAGCTACTCAGTCGGGCCGTGGTAGCAGGATGGCTACCACAGATAGTATGTGAACTGATGAGTGAGGCTCTGTTCCAGTAAAACTTTATTTACACACATTGAAATTTGAATTTCATATCATTTTCATGTGGCTTTTGAGTTTTTTCAACCATTTAAAAATATAAAAACTATTAGCCCACAGATCATACAAAACCCAGCAGTGGCTGGTTTTGGCCAGCAGACCATAGTTTCCCAACCCGATAGATTCTCAAAAGAAATGTCACTGATGCTGTAGCTGGAGAGAGTTTAGAAATTCCTTCACTTGGGGCTACTGCCTGTGGATAGTGGAGTCTTCCTGGATCCCTGGGGAGGAGGGAGGCCTTCCCACAGAGTTCTCTTAAAAGTCTGGATGAAGCCTTCTGACTGGGCTATGGAAAACCACTTGCCCTGGAGTAAAAAAGTCGGTGGAAAGCAGCTCAGTTTCAGTATTTTGATTATTACCTATATATATTTTTTCATACTGTAAATGGTAACTCTCTTAGTTTGGCTCAGAGCATATTAATTGAATGGGCAGATTAATATTCATTGACAGTTTAATGTGTCCTAGGCATTGCAAAGAACAGAGAAATGGAACCCCCACATTCTTGGTACAGACATAGCCTACCAGAAATTGGACCAGATTCTACTAAACTCTGAACATGCAAATTCTTTGGCTATTCTCTTGGTACTTCTAGAAGGGGATTGTCATGGTAGAATCCAAGAGGGGAGAGGAAATGGTATAAGGAAAACAGAAATTAAAAACTAGAATTTGAATCATTACCTAATTTCCTGTATTGATAAAATCTTGCCCAAAGGGCAGCCCTCCTCTGTCTGGAAAGTTGTCCTGTTCTCTTCATGAGGAACCACCAAAGTGATGAGGGGATGGAGTCACTCACCAGCCACATCAGACAGATCAACCTTGGCAGGCAAGTGAAATGGCAGATGTCAATGCTAGAGTACCCCCATAGTCTACATTTACATGGCGTTTTTTCATCTTTTTTAAAGCATTTTTTGCTGTGGCTGACATTGGCCAAGAAGAGGACGCTGGTAAAGAGAATAGGTCTGGGAAGACTCCTGAGTGTTCTCCCATCATGGCCTGTGCCTAGCCCTGTCTCTGAGCCTGAAAAGTTTTGGTGCTCCTTTCCACCATCATGCCAAAGAAGTCCATGGCTGCATCTCAGCGCCCCCACCCCCAAGGCACAAGAAACTCCCAAAGGTTCTGGTCAAGATTGCAATTTTGTCTGCCATGTCTTGCGGCACTCTTCTTAGCTCCTCATAGGTGGCATTTCAGGGGAGTGGGGGAGGCTAATAGGACAGCTGCCTTGTAGAACAGAACCTGAGAGTTGAGTTGCACTGGCCAGCCTTGTCTCCCTTCCTCTTGATCTCTCACCTCCTTCCCTTTGCAGTTGTAGTTCTTGTACCGCTGACCTTGTCTCGCAGGAAACCACTTTCCTCATCCACACTGTAGAAAAGGCTCAGACCTGTGCAGTAGGAAGGTTGGCTTTTCTGGTCTGCTACAGTGAGCCTTTGCTTCCTCTCCTGGGGCTTGAGAGAGGAAGGCTAAGGCAGCTGCCACATCAAGCTCCTTCGTTGGGCTAATATGCCACGGGTAGGAGATCCCAAGTGATAAAGATACATAGACCTGTCCTGAGGCCTTCCAGTCTCCATCAGCCCAGTTACTGTCCCAGAAACATAGAGGGTGTGGAACCGTGGACTAAGAGAACTATCCCTCCATGAGATAGCGCACAGAGCCCTGCAGGGAGCCCTCCAGGCACCCTATGGCACTGGCATACATAAGGTGAGAGTCACTGGCACCAAAGTTAGGGGTGTGTGCATGCATATGTGTGTGTCTTGCACAAACATGCACGCAGGGTGAGGATCACCGCAGCTGGACAGAGCTTGGTGCTGCTTTCCCCTCACCTCCCACTGCTCCCTCGCTTGGCCATAGTTGGCTTTTGGCGGGGTCCAGCCGGAAAGGCCCAGTTCCATCCTGGGCATCCTTAGAAAGCATGGGGAGATAATTCACAATCTGCTTTAAAGAGAGGGGTGCTGGGGGCCCCTCATGCGTACTCAGTGAGACAGAGCTGGGGCCTCTGGTACCACAGAATGGCCTTTAGTAGCTGTTTAATCTGCTTTTGGTGGAGATTGAAAAAATCATCTGGGAAATTCCTACGATAACGGGTAGATTAAAAACTGGGGCTCTTATTCCCTGCACGTTGGTGACTAGCCAAGCCTTCTGGGTGGATGGGTGGGGGAAGGCTGTCTTACTGGAGGTATTTTGGGTCTGCTTTAAGCTTAGCCCCGTGCTGGGAACTGTCTCCTTCAAACCACCCTCGAGTCTGGGGCCCTGTGGTTCTGCACCATCACCTAGGTCTTCTCTGTGACTGTGCTGGTGAAAGACGTGCCAGGGCTATGCCCACAACACCTGACTAGTGTCTCATTGCCAGATCCCAGGTTAGGAAAAAAAAAAAAAAAGATAAAAACCTGAATACACAATACACAGCCTCTGCACGCCTGTGATTCCTGCCTCCGCGTGCACCCCAGGCAGACTGGGGCAGTTCTCAGACAAATGGAATGGAAAGTATTCTTCCCCTAATTTAACATTTAAATAGAACTGCCTTCCTTGTGTGTGTGTGTGTGTGTGTGTGTGTGTGTGTGTGTGTGTGTGTGTTAATTCCTATAAAGTCCTTTAAGGAGGAGGGGACTGGATCCTCCCCCACAAGCCTATAACAGGGAAAGAGAAGCCTCTGACCAAGGTGCTGCGTGTCACACCTCTGCATCTCCAGTGTCTGGTATGAAGGCCTGAGGCTGGCCTTGCTCAGCCTGGGGCTACAGGGGAAACCAGAGTGAGGGAGGGGGGCAGTGTTGTGTCCATTACTGTTGCTCCTGCCTTCCTGGCTGGACTGCTCCACTCTGCTTTTCCTTCAGAAGCGCAGAATTAGGTAGGAGAGACTGGACAGACGTGGGACCTGCTCTAGGAACTTCAGGCTGGATGAGGGGACAAGTGCACTGACTTCCAAATTTACAATCAGCCCCATGCCCTGAAAACACCAGGCAGGCGGCACTTAGGGCTGGCTTTGCTAGGGTCATAACTTTGGTCACAGAGTGCACGACAGCTGGCCTTGCATCTAGCAGGAGGAAATGTGTGTGTGTTCCCTTTTGATGACCAACAAAACAACCTGAGACTTGGGTCCCCAGGGCCTGGTATCCGTAACCACTGACCGCCTCCCTGAACGAAGCATCAAACCCAGAACCAGGCCGAGTAAGAAAGAGTCAAGGACAAGAACATACTTAGAAACACATCCGTTTCCATTTGTTTAATGCTTTGGACTTTCCAGCCTGTTCACATGCATTCTCTGCTGACCCTCACAACACCCCTGTGAGGTAGGGGGAGCAGTGAGCCACTCACCTGTGGCCACACTGCTGTTAGGAGCCCAGCAAACCCAGTCCTGGCTCCCAGGTCAGTGCTGTGCTTTTCACTGCCTGATCCACAGGCTCTTACGTCAACCAGATACGGGGGCAACAGAGCACTAACCCAAAAGCCTCCCTGTTCCCTAAGCCCCCAGTAATGCTGAGACTGGGGCATCAGGGCCAGCACTGCCATTCTCAGCAGAGCCTACACTGTGATCCCCACGTCTGCCTTCGTCAAGTGAGAAGGCCTTAGTAATTTACTCAGGGGGTGCTCGGGGCCCACTCCCGGAGGAAAGAAGCCTCAAGCCACTGCTAGGAAGTGACCCTCTAACCGCCCCTCTGCTCTCCCCATTCCATTACACTCCAGCCGCCCAGGAGGAGGGGGAAGGTGAGGGCTGGCTGACTCAGCCTGCAAGTGCTTGGAGCTCTGGAGCTGAAAGGCCCCAGCACTGTGCAGCTAATGATTATTATTAACTCTGAGCAGGCCTTGGCACAGCAGCCAGCTGGCTCGGGGAGGATGCCTAGATCTCCCACAGCGAGGTTTGAAAAACAAGACCCAGAGCAGCCATGCACAGGGGTGGAAGGGTGGGGGCAATGAGAAAGAAGGGACAGGCTGGTGTCAGGAACCAGGAGGGGCAGTGTGCCCTGGGGGGCTGTAGGGTGAGGAGGAACAGGCCAGCAAGGGACAGCAGCCCACCTTTGATGCAGCTCAACAGCCAAGGGGAGGCTGGAAGACTTCCCCAGACACAGCGCCTGGCCATCATCCAACACAAACCCCAGCCCCAGGCAGGTGGGGGGTTGGGGAGGGTGTGCTCCAGGGAAGGCATGGTTGGTGGTAGGGGGAGATGGGAGGGGTCTGAACCCAGAACAGTAATCCTGTTACCATTTGGATTTGGTTACAAAAAACATCTACATTTCTAATGTCCTCAAGGTTGAGTTTGAAATATAATCATATTTGGAATCAAGTCTTAGTGAGCCTGATATGCAAATTTGTGCAAATGACATGCGATTTTTTTTTTTTTTTTTAATTTGAGCACCCTGGTTGGTTGGTTGTTTTTTTCTTTTTTTTTTTTTTTTTTTAAGGCAAAACAGGCTGACTACTAGCAGCTTTCCCTAGCCAGGGAACAAGGGCAAAAGGGCAGCCATTTGCTTCCTCCCCCCAAGGCCTCTGCCTCATTGTGGAGGTGCCCAGCTAACATCCCAGATAGGGAGATACAGAGAGGTGGGGAGAACAGAGGGAGGAGGGCTAAGGGAGGAGGAAACGCACACAAGCAGGCGGCATGTGCAGCCAGCAGCCACCCAGCTCCCAGCTGGAGGAAGAGTGCCCTGGCACTGAGGTCTAATGGTTGTCCAGCTGCTGCCCCAGGATGTGAGGGCAGGTGGCGATGGAGGGAGAGATGCAGAAGGAGGAGGGAAGTCCCCCCGACAATCTGGCAGACCAGGAAGAAGGGCTCCTCCTCGTGACCTACTCCCCATACTGCAGTCAGACAGGCTCTGCAGAAGACCACCTGTGCCCTCCTCTCTGCCCTGTGCCACTATCCTCCAGGCCTCCTGGTCAGAGAGGTGACAGCTGGGGCCCCTTCCTCCTTCGGAATATAAATGACTTCCCCCTTCCTCCGAAGGCTGGGAATAGACATCAGCTGGCACAGCCCACGCAAACTACCGGCTGTCAGCCCGCCCGCCCGCCTGCCCAGCAGCCCCCGCACCACCTGGGCGCAGGCGACACCTCAGGCAGGCTCAGGCTTTATGGCGCTGGCTGCCTGGCTCACGGAAGCTGGTGAACCTCACCCCACTCTGTCACCCTGCCTAGACAGAGTGAGACTCCCAGCACTGGCTGTGATGGGGGAGAGGACATGGAGTCCCCGAGCAGTGACCCTCAATAACAATGTCTTCATGCCATGCCGGGCACCATCTCTTCCAAGTTCAGACCACACTGCTGGGTAGTCTAAGAGGGGAGAGAAGGAAAGCTGACAGGAATAATCACCCTCTGAAGGTGCAGAGACCCTCAGTTTAGATGCTCCAAGTCTGGAGAGCTCCCGGGAGACTCCATCTGACCCAGTGAGATCCGCTCAGAGGACTTCTGCCCTTGCAGTCCCCATTCCTAGACTGTTAAAACATGCCAACCTCCTTGCTTCTGAACCACTCAGGGAGGGAGGTCTTCAATCTTAGGAAGAGCCAGGGCATCTAAATTACTGCCATCTAGGAACTCCTGCCCTGCTCCCGGAACTGGGGCTCCAGCCCCTTCATCCAGGCCTCCTGCAGCTCCCACTGAGTGGTCTATCCACCTCAACACCAGCTTTCCTGGCGTGGTTGTCTTCAGTCCTTGCCATGATCTATGGAGGTCCACCCCCGAGCGAGCCAGACCACAGTGAAACCAGTCTGGCACCCAGCTCACCACTGAGGAAAGCCTGGGGAACTACCTTCAGTTTGGAACAAGGAGTGGGTTTCTGCAGGGAAGAGGGCCCAGCCCCCTTTTGCCAACTGGCACCACACTCAGCCCCGTCCTGGGCCAAAGAGCTGGCAAGAGACAGCAACTGAGAAGAGCTTAGTTGAGAAGGGGAACCAGGGAGACTTTGTTTTTCCTAGACCAGAATAGCCCTACCCCACTTCCTCAACTCTTATTTTGTTCTAAAAACTTTGGAATACCTCCACAAAGGTATGTGCTAGGTCATGAACCTGAGCCCTAGGAAGGGCTATGAGAGGTTCAGGACAACTGTGCCACTCAGAACACCTGGCAGGGAAAGGCACTCACCCATGCCCTGCAGCCCTCAAGCCCAGATTCTGAGGTGGGCTGAAGGATGTTCTTAACTAAGCTAAGAAGCCCAGCCAGGAGCCAGAGGCTTGCTGAAGCCAATGCCCTTCCGCTCCTACAAAAGCTTTAAAGTGACTTCAGTGCTTTTAACGGTCTTAGAGTTCAAGAGAGCCTCGTCCAGGACTCTTCTCTCCACAGTGCCTGACCCCCTGTGCCCTAGTCCAGAAGCCCAATCAGCAGATTCCTGGAAGGCCATGGGGGCAGACCTGTCCCTCCAAAGGGATAACGGGATAATGAATTTAGGAATGACATCCTGAGTCTGCTTAGCGGTCCAGACCACGGTCCAGAGAGGGGAGTGTGTTTTTGTGGCATCAACCTGACAGACACTGAATATTGGAGATTGTTTAGAAACACTCACCCATGACACAGATGCGGAAACTGGTCCCGAGATGTGTGACTTGCCTAAGGTTGCCCAACAGACTCTACAAGAACCATAACCCATGGTCTCCCTCCACACTGCTTTCTCGAAGACCCCCCACTCCCGCCAAAACCACTGTTGTCATTCATAAGTTACTGGAACCCAATTCTCCATCAGACACACAGGCAAGAAATGACTGTGAACACCCTCACCACCACCACCCAAAACTTCTGTCGCCAATCAAGAGTGGAGGCTTCAGGATCAAGCCTCCCCCTGCCCTGCCCACCACCTTCCACTGGCACCCAGTATACTTCCCCACTTTGACTCACTGAGTCGTCATCAGAAATAGCACTTTGGGTTTCTGCAGTTGCTGGCCCAGTTAAGAAGTATAAAACCCCTACTACTTCTGAAATGGATCCCCTGAAGGTCATCAAAGGGAACATTTAGGTCCAAGGCAAGTGTCCCACCTACATTCAGAGTTCAGAGGAACTCACATTTCCATTTTCTTCTTTGGCAAGTAGGAGCTGGAGATCTGGTGCATGATCACCAGGGCTGGATAGAGGGGCAGGGCCAGGCACAGGTACCAGGCTGTGCCTTTGATCTGGGCCTGGAACCACACTGAGTACATGCCCAGGAGTACCGTTACTGTAGCCAGCAGATAGACTACCAGTCCACAAGTCAAATGGTAGAGCTTGAGGCGAGCCACTCTTGAGACCCTGGCTGCTCGAGGACAGAGGAGGCAGAACCCACACAGTGCCTGACCACTAGTGGCCAGCAGTGTCAGAGCCCCTACCCAGCTGTGCCAGGACACCAGGTGGGGCAGCTCACTGCGGGTCCTGCTGAAGATGATGAAGCCCAGGCCCAGGGCTGCACAGAGGATGGCCAGGGTCTGCCCTACCCAGTGGAGCCGGATCCGGGCCTTGCGGGAGCAGAAGAAGAACAGGGAGTGTTCAGGCGAGAAGAGTAGGATGGCCTCAGCCATGCAGAGGCAGAACTGTGAACACAGGAGAGGGCCAGTGAGCCTCAGGCCCAGCGTGAAGGCCTAAGGAAAAGGAGGTGCTCTCATACGTCCAAACAAGGACGACAAAGGGTAATGGCTAAAGAACTCCACCCCTGCCCCTGACCTCCTGCCTCACAGGTCAGCATTTCTGGGCACAAGTGGGAATCAACACTTGAGTGGAAGTCTTATCATTCAGGCTGACCGGCATGCCAACCTCCACAGGCAATGACTCCCTATTTCTTAACCAATGTTAAGCAAATCTATAGCAAATGTTAAACTGCCTCCTGAATTTTGCGAGTGGGGGGTGGGAGGTAAGGGAGTTGGGAAGGAGGGGTGATTGCACAACACCATTACTACTTCCTCCTTTCAGACCCTAGGAGAGAAAGACACATCTTCCATACCCTCCCAACACCCCTCAACCACCTGACATTAACTACAGCCCAGCCTTCCATATCTCCCAACCGAGTTGCAGGGGACGATGGAACCCTCGCTCTTTCCCCCACCTCTCTGAGCCTTAGAAAAAGGCTGAGCCTCTGAAAACCTGATGCTTCCCTACGGGGCATTTCCAAACAAATCAGCTGCAGAAAAGAAACTCAAACTCACCGCCAAGGTCATGAATACAGGGTGCCAGGAGAAAAGACCTAAGAATCAAAGAGAACAGACTGACGGCTGGGCACCAGGTCTCTGCCCCTGTGGCTGGCTGGAACCCAAACAATCCGGCTACAGGGGGCAGGTCAGTGCACTATTCCCAGCCCGAATGAGAAACTCCGTGCAAAGCGGAGCAGCCAATCGGGCTTACGGTGAGCAACCAAAGGGGCAAACATACACCAGTCTGGCCTGGCTTCCCCATCCGGCAGTTCGGCAGCTCGGCAGCTCAGCTCGGCAGCTCGCAGCTGTCAGCCCAGTTCTAGGATGGACCTTGGCCTCCTTTACTTCCATCCTCCACGAGGGGCTCCGCTTCTGTTGTACTGGTGAGTTCAACTGAGTGTCTGTCTTCCGACCCCCGCGCCCAAAGCCCCACCCTTCCAGGACCCACCTCCCGGGGCCTGCCCCACCACGCCCTTACTACCTCTCCACAGCTCGCCCCTCCACTGCGGGGGGTCCCCACTCCGGGTCTCGGAGCGCTCCCAGCTACGCTCCTCTAGCATCCCGGCTCCGCCCCCTTCCCTGGCCCCGCCCCGCCTTGCACACTCACTGGTTCCTGGCCGGGACAACACAGTCAGGAAGATGGTGAAACCCAAAGCCACTAGGTGCGCCAAGATCCCACTGCCTGTCCGCAGCCAAAGGGTCAGTCTCGGCTCCCTCCCCGGAGCGGGAACCAGACCTGCCTCCAGGGGCTGCATGGCCGGGCCGGGCCGGCGCACACTCCCAGCGGCTGGAGCGCGTCTTCCGGGTTTGCGATCGCGGAGGCGGCCGCGGCTGCGGGAGAGGCCCCTCCCCCGGCCGCCGCCGACACTACGGCGGCCTCGCCCACAGCGCCCTCTGGGGGCTGGGGGGAAAGCGCGTCCGCCCTGGAGAGCCGTGGGGCGGGGGCAGAAGAGGACCAGACAGCAGGTGGGCAGGCGGGTTTCTTCTGTCAACCTCGTTTGTACCTTTCTGGCCACAAGGGCTTACGTCTCAAGTAGACTGTGGAAATTACACTTATGGCAACTGATTCCACCCGTACCCCAATCACAAACTTCGCACGATGAACCAAGAGTGTGAAACCAGTGCTTTGAACGGTCTTCCAGAAACACTGGATTTCTCAGCTTGCCCACGCCCTCCTGCCGTCCCTTCTTCTGGCTTGTTAAGGGAGTTAAGAGTCCTCTCTGCCTAAAAGCAAGGACACTGGAAGGTAAGGACCAAGCCAGAAAATATTGCCCATGCCTGGTGAGTTCAGGTTTGAGGACCAACGGAGGGGGGTACAACTGTGTCACCCCTGTTGGCACACTAGCCTCCAGTGACATACATGGAAGAACTAGGGCACTCCCAGCCCTTCCCACCTCCATACCATCTGCTCAGCCCTGGGAAGCCAGGTGATCCTGAGGGACTAGGACCTCCCACATTCCTGCTGCCTCCCACACCATAAGTTTCGTAAGTGATCATACCTTTCCCCTTCCTGCCTCCAAAAAGGTGTAGTTCAGCTTAAGGAGGCCTACCTGGGAGAGACTCTACTCTTTCCTGAAGGGCAAACCCACAGGGACAGGGACCAGGGACCAAAACAGCCTGTCCCACAGAAATCACGGACATCGTTAGAGCAGTTACCAACTTAATTTGAGCTCCGCCAGTGGTTGAGAAAATGAGGCTGCTAGGGAGAGACGGCAAGGGCAGGAAAAGCTGAAGAGACTGAGGCAATAGTTCAGAGATGGGATGGAGGCCCAGCAGTGCTGGAAGACTGGAAAAGGGCCCAGGCCGACTCCCACAGGCCCTCAGGGCAAAGACCTGAAAGGAGAGCCCGAGGAGTGGCTCCCTTGCCCCTGTTATTTCCCTTCCCAGCAGGACAGGAGTCATCTCTGGGATAAAGATTCCGGTGAGCCCTTCTTGCTCTGAGCCATATGCCTCATCATCCTCTCTGGAGAGAAGACTCCCCCATGACACAAACTCTGGCCATTCCCATACCATTTAGACAAAAATATAGGAGCATAAGAGACTTCTGCAGGCAAATGCCAGGAACTGGAGTCTGGCTGCCTATCATCTCCACCTCCTGGGGTGCGGATGGGGACAGCAAGGACACTCATTTTATTACATCTTTTTCCTTCCTTTTCTCTGTTTCTGTTTTTACATTTTCTTAGCAGCAACAGAACAGGGAGACAGTCTTGAGGTATTTTAAAGAGTTTTTTTTTCTTAAAAAAAATAATATAAAGTTATAAAAAGCGGCAGCAGCCTGGGGCCCGGATCTGGAGGGGAGGAGGTGCTGGCGGCTCCATCGTGGTGGGCAGGCACTTTCTTGTTAATGGGCTTTCGACTGCAGGAAGACAAGAGGCAAGAGACGCGGTCAGGCTGGGGGCCTACCAGTCCTGCTTCCCAGTGAACTGTGTGGACCATGAGAGCTAAAGCTTGCTTTCTTCCTGGCCTGGCTGCTGCCCAACGATGGACGAGGGGAAAAATGAATGCCAGTGGATCGGGGACAGCCTGAGAATGTCCGTGCACACACACGCACACACATGGGGGCATGGTCCAACTCACTACTCTCATAAGGGTGCCAGAGGAGTGGGTATGTATCTGGCCTGTGTCTACACCAGGAGGGCACCCAATTTCTCGCCACGGGCAAGCCCCTCCTGCCCTCCTATGGACAGCCCAGAGTGTGCTACTCCAGGGCTCCCGTCAGAAGAGGCGCATAAACCGGCTGCTGGCTTTCCCAGAAACCCTGGAGGACTTGCCTGGTGCATGAAATCCTGGAAGCGGGCACATATGCTTACAAGGACCTCAGGTGACATCCCTGGCCTTCTAGGCCCTGAGGCCCAAGGGCAGAACCCATGAACAAGACCAGCCCACCCACTCTGCCACCCAGCATATCAGGCCACCGCTTAGGGACCCACGCTCAACCCCACTGCCCAAACCTTTCCCATCAGAGTTCATGAAGTCCAGCTTCCTTTCCTTTGGGGGACAGGGGTGGCTCCAGTTCCTGGTGTGAAGGCCACAGCCAGATCAGAAAGTGGCCCTTTTGTTAAAACAGAAGGAGGTGTGGGGGCAGGGGACAGGCAGCATCTCCTCAGCTCAAGGGAGAGACAGACAGGGGAAGGCCCATCAAGCAAAAGCTGGGTCACCTTTCAAAGAGCTGACCTACCTCTCCCTAGAGGAGACGGCCCCGGAACTCTCTCAACTTCCCCTTTCAGAATCCCTTCCCTGCACAAACACTTAGCACCTTCTCTGTGCTGGGTTCCCACTGTGCGCTCTACCCTGGTCCATCCTGATCTCTCCCTGCCCATGCTCTCCAGAGAGCTGGGCTGGTACCTTCAGTGTAGAACACTTCTCCTCAAAGGCCATGGCAGGACCCGGCTTCTTGCGGCGCACGGAGCAGGCCGCATCGGCACGGGCGCCGGCCTGGCAGTGCTTGGCCTTCACCGGCCGGCAGTAAGTGGCCAGGTTTTTCCGCTTCTTGGCTACCTCCTCCTCGGAGAGGCAGTTGGTGGGCAGGGCCTTGGCTGGGTGTCCGGCTGCTCCCCGGCTGTCCAGCTGAGAAGCCTTGACGGGTGTCGGGGGTTGATGAAGGGAGCCCCGACAGTCCAGAGGCCCTGCCCGCTTCACTCTTGGCCCCACCGTCCCATTGAGCCCCATGCCCAGGGCTGTTTTAGTCTTGGCCGAGAGGCCCCGGCAGCCAGAGGGTTTGCCTTTTCCAGAGGGCTCCAGGATGCAGGTCCGTTTGAAGGTGGTGGGGCCAGGGGATAACTTTCGCTTTCGAGAAGGGGCCTCCACTTCGACCCCATCCTTGCCTTTGGACGACTTGCTGGCCTTCGAAGGCGGGAGTTTGCTGAAGGATGGGGATGGCGTGTTGGCGGGCAGTGGTGAGGTGATGGCCTGGGCCCCCCCCATGCATTCTGCCTGGCTGCAGGCCGCGGCCACACTGGGGGAGCCTGCAGGGTAGCTGGGGACCAGGCTGTCCTTGGCAGGGGGTGTGGAGGCTGGGCAGGCAGGTCTGGGGGGCAGGCCTGGAAGGCGGGGGCAGCTGCCTGTAGAGGACGGGCTCAGGGGAGCAGACAGTGGGGAGCTGACAAGGTGGGATGGAGGCTCAGCCGCGGGTGGGATCTTCCTGCAGCAAAAAGAGAGCTCTGCTGTGACGCCAAGCAAGCAAGAGGACCTCCCCACCAGCCTCCACCTGGCTCTCTGCCCCACCTAGAAATGGCCCACAGAGCCCCAGCCTTGCTGCCATCTGCTGGGAGATGCTGGAACTGAGGCTTAGGAAGAAAGCACAGGGGTAGACAGCTGTGAACTAATATAGGGACCCATTAAGAACCTTATTTCAAATTTCAGTTTGGGCACCCCTATCCCTAGTTACCCAAAAGGTACTGGAAGTGACAGATAAGAGTCAGGCTTCACTCCCACACCCCCCATTCTTGCCCTGCCTCGGCCCAGCCACAGGCTGTCAAGTTCCCTCACCTCCTCTTCATTCTATCTGGGGTCTCGCCCGAACAGCAGAACCGCATCTACAGGTAGGTGAGAAGAATGAGGGCTTCTGAAGCCCATGGATGTCCGGGGCCCGGGGTCTAGGGAGGGCAATTCCAGGCCCAAAAGACTCACTTCCACATGTGTGAGCTGAGGTGCCGTTCCAGCATGGAGCTCAGGGCTGAGCAGAACCGGTCCAGCCGGCGGCTAAACACGTAGCATCCTGGACTCACCAGCCGGCTCCCAAAGGTGCAGAACTAGAGGCAGAAGGAAGGGCCATGATTAGCGGGGCCTGGGAGGCAGGGAGGGCGCTTGCGCAAAGGATCTGACCTCCTCCCCAGGCTGTGGGCTGGGAGGGCTGGGCCACCCCCCACCCCAGGTCCCTGCCCCAGGTCCTTACCGCCTGTGGCCGCGGGGGCCGGGTTGCATAATGGCAGTCAGGGGGGAGGTGGAGGTCGTCAGATGTCCCCTCCTCCTCACTCTCCTCGCTGGAGGCCTGGGCCCCACCCCGGGGCAGGGGAAAGGGGAACAGGCCTGGGTCCCCATCACCACCACAGGGGCCTTCATCATCCAACTCACTCTCAGAGGAGGCCCGGGACCTGGAAGGGCCAAAGGGGACGTGAGGGCAATGAGACGGGAGTGGGTCAGGGTGGGGGTGTCCCTGAACCCGCCAAGCTCAAAAAAAAAAAAAAAAAAAAAAGCCAGGGCAGACACCCTGCTGGCCAATGAGACAAAGAGAAAGGAGGACGGGAAGGAAGAGAACAACAGAGCTCACAAGAGTGAGAGCCAGAAAGGTCAGGGCCACAGCTCCCAAGGGATCCTCTCCCCAGCCCCTTCGCTTCCCAGGCCCTGCCTCCTGGGGCGGTGGGGAATCTGCTCCAGATTCACCTCCTCCAGAACATCTTCTGAGCTTAACTGCACCCAGCTCTGGTCAGTCCCGTCAATTCTCTCAACCCCCTCTCGCATCACATATTCCTGTCAGCCTTTCTGGGAGCTGAGCCTGTTTCGGGTCTGCCCCTTGTGTTATGGGCAGAGATGTGTGTGTGTCTCCTTTGGCAAGGTGGGTTCTCCCCGGGCTCTGGCGCAGCCTCTGCACATGAAGGGGCCAGTGAATGAACACACAGTAGGACTGCCTCACCCAGGACCCTGATCCTTTCAGTTCCCCAGGTACAGGTTTTTATCCCAGGCACTGGAACCAGGCCCCTACAGAGGCTGAGGTGCCTCGGCGTGCTGGGGTAGGAGCGGGGAGTCCCCTGCTTCTGCACAGCTAACAGGGGCTCCAGCTAGCT